TATATATATATACAAATACGCACAGTTTATTTGATTTATTTGTATTCATCCCCATAAAACATATTTGTCCTAACAGAATATTATTATGTGCAACAACTCATTCAGGGAAAAAAAACGGATTCCTATCTGCCAGTTAAGCTGAAAATCAGCTGATTCTTTTAATTTGATAATCAGTCAGTGAATCTCTAACACTCTTTTTAGTTTGTTTTTTTATACTAACAATTAAACCATTCATATTGCAGCCTAATTCCCATTTATTTTGCGGATATTTCAGCTGAAACAAGCTGAAATTGTCCCTTATTGTCTTCACTGGAAGTGCCACAGCTGGCTGCTGCTGCTGCTTAACGTGGTTGCAAATGTCCACAGAATTCCATGTAAATGAATATGAATTGCAAAACTGTTCCAAATTGGGGCAAAAAAACTCAAAAGTGAAGCTGCATCTTAAAGGTTAGTTGTTCATAACTTTTCCACAGAGCTTCACTTGAAAATGGCTGGAATGTCCCTTTAGGAAACAGGTTTCAGAGAGAGGGAGAGCGTCTCCCTGATTTCTACAGACTGGAAATAAAATTTAAAATAGCATATATGTAATTATTTGGTTTTATGTTGTCATTGTTTTTGATAAAGGCGTGTGTTTAAAAATAAACTGTGCGTATTTGTGACAAAAGACGTTACGTCACTTTGAATAACGCACTGTTTGCAGAAAAATGTGACAGATGTTATGAAACCGGAATCACCGGATCTACTTGTGTTCACTGATGAGGACGGTGAACGGAGCGAGACTCACCTGGTCAAAATGGACTCTTCCTCACAGGTAACGGAGGTAAGTCCAAGAAACGCTGCTTTCCTCTTTGATACTCACTTAAAGCGCGTTTTGTGTTAAACTTGAACGTTTTAATCGGTAGTTTTGCTAATAACCCCGAATAAACGAGTTTATTCTGAATGATTGCGTCCACCTGCGGCTGCAGCGCGAGCGCGTCTCTGCGGACCAATGGCAGCAGAGGTCAGAGGTCAGAGCGGAGCAAGGCGGAAGTTGTTGGCCGCCGCAGCCAGCGCTCGTTAGCCTTTAGCAGGCTAACCGGCTTCTCGTCGCGTTTTAGCCGCTTGCCACCCAGACATAAAGACATGGATGGCTTCGGAATGTGTAAAAGATGAAGGCAAGACGAGCAGGGGAATGATTTCTATCCTGGCAAAGGATAAACACGATAAAAACGACAACCCGGACGCATTAAAAGGTAACAATCCGGCTGTTGCAGCTAACTTAAATGGCTAGGGGAGCGCATATGTGTAATTATTAGACAGGTGTTTTTGCTTTAAACCCTTTATATATTACTCTAAATTAACTGACACGTTTAATAGATCCTTTTTTTTACTAAGCTTGTAGCTGTCACACTTTAAAAGCACAACAAAACAGCTGTTTCATGAGTAAATCCGTTCTGTAAAAGGTAAACCCTTCTCTGTTTATGTGAACATGTGTCAGTAGTTTAGGTCGTAGAGTGATATCGTGTGTTCAGCTCGAGGCTGGAGTCCAGCTCTTATTGCTGTGCGTGTATTTATCAGGCAGAGTCAACTTGTTGATTAGTACAGTCATAACATGAGCTGAGCACAGTTGGTGTGTTTAGATTGACTACAGAAAACATTAATTAATTCAAAACAGAAATGTATATATGCAATTTTTTTTTTAATTTTTAGAAATACATCTGTCTGTGCAGGCATACATACAGATCACTGCAGTTACTAGTTATGAGGTTAAGTGGGACGGCATACGTTTAACATAAATAAGAGTATTTTGCATTTTATCTTTGTTTTCTTTATTTTATAGCTCAATGTGGGAAAAGTGTAGGAAAATATAAATATGACCTGAACAAATCTGTGTGAGATGGGACTTACATGGTATGTTACAAAAAAATCCCAGTTTGTGATCAAACTCATTTTAGTGGATGCAACTTAATAAGTCAAAGAAAATATCAAATTGGTTGAGACATAAGGAAGTCATGATCGTCAGTGTGATTAAAAAAAAAAAGATGCAAACTGCTCATGAGCTCATCCCAGTTCTGGGGCTTCAAAAACCACTTATGGGTTAACAGATTGTTCTAAAGTTGCTCAGAATGTTGCTAAGAGTTAATAAAAATGTCCGACTTACATTTTTTAATGAATCGCACATGCTCAATGTGTGACTGGATTGTATTCAACCAATGTGTGAACATAGAAAACTCATCTGTCCCAATGATCGGGTGATTGTGACATATTTCAGACGTGCAAATTAAATTTTTGGTATGATTAGTTTCAAAAGAATTCCTTCTGTTGCCATAAACTGCTGTTGTTTGGCGTATTGTTTTGCACTACTAGTATTTAGTGTATTTCTTAGTTTATATCTTAGATCCTTAATGTTTCTTTTTATTTTTGCAGTTGTTGGTAACTGGGACCCTGTGTACACAATTCCGTTCCACCTCGTGTACCACATGTGATGTGAATGACAATAAAGAAACTTGAAGCATGGTTCTTATGTCTTAAACTGGACTTTATACTTTTTATGTTCTGGCCTGTTTTATTTTGTTTATGTATTGTGATATTACTTGTGATTTCAGGGGTGCAGCGATTGCAGTTTTCTGGCCGATCACCGATTTCTAAAAAGTCTGAGCTGCCGATTCCGATTTTGTTTTATAAGAGACGCTGTCGGGTGTTATAAGATCACAATCACAATTATTGAAAAACATACCCTTGAACAATATCCTAGAAACAATACAAACTGGTTTTAACTGGCCATGAGGTTGTGCTCTGAAATATAAATGAAGTTCAGACAATTGTTGTTAAAACTAAAAAGAATCGGTTTCTCGTGCAAGTATCGGCCGATTTCCCAAAATTAAGGAAATTTTTTTGTTTTTACCTTTTTATTATTGTGCCAAGTCTCTCGTTAAAGAGTTAAACTCGAGCAACTTCTGGTGTAAATGGTTTGGATTTAAATTTGAAGAGCAGCATAAGTTCAGAAGTAAAATATCGGTTTTGTTTTGGATTCTCGTTTTAAATGCCGACTAGCAAGAGTAGCTAAAGCAAACTTGCATACGTTCAGATTATTTAAGATATTTTTTTTTTATTGTTTTATGCCGCAAACAGTTAAAGTATTTTCTCTCTTTTAAGTTCCTGTGTAGGGGTGCACCGATAAATCAGCCGGACGATTTCTCGGCCCCGACCTCCTTAAGTTTGTGGAAATCGGCTGATACACGAGAAACCGATTTGACCAATATTTTTATTTTTAACAACAATTGTTTGAACTTAAATTATATTTCAGAGCACAACCTCATGGCCAGTTAAAACGAGTTTTGTTTCTAGGATATTGTTCAAAGGTATATTTAAAAAAAAAAAAAGATTGGAAAATTGAAGGTGCATTTTGATCTTATAACTCCTGACGGTGTCGCTTATTAAACCAAATCGGTGTCGGCAGGTCAGACTTTGTAGAAATCGTTGATCAGAGATCTGCCAGAAAACTGCAATCGGTGCATATTCCTGTGTTGCCTCTCGGTCTTAGCAGCAGCTACAACCATCAATCCTCTGAAAATCATATACAACTCTGCTCGTTTGTAGAACTTCTTTAAGACAAATAGTTTTTTTTGTGCACCAGATGTCATTGATGGAAACATTTTCCATTGTTCTCGTTGTACTGAACGCATGCGGAGCTCACGTTTTGTTCACGAGCAATAAAGTTGCCTTTTTACTTTTTTTTTAAATTATGATTGTTATCGAAACTCCAAACAGAGGAGTAATGTCATGGTGTCATATTTGTATTCATTTGCACATTTCCTGTTGTGAAACCTTAATAAAACCCTGTAAATAGTTTTCAATTTTAGCAGATGTCCTTTACTTGTTGTTAAAGATACAGCGCTTATTAAAGTTATTATTTTTTTTTTATTTCAAGCACCTATTTGTGTTTGTGTGCCCTCAGCTTCCAGCAGCCACAGACACCATGAGTGCCAAATATGGCCTGGGGGGCTACAACAATGCACGGAAGTACATTTCCATCTCCATCCCGTCGTCCACAGAGGTGATGTCACCGCACATAAAGTCTGTGGAGGAGCTGAGGGTTCTGGGAATCAACCTTAGCAGCTTAAGTGCCCCGAAACAGTTCATCGTCTGCGTAGCCGGAGTCTTCCTCTTTTATCTGATCTATGGATACTTGCAGGTAACAAGGGGGAGGTGTGGAGAACGGCACGCTCACAGTGATATACGTTAAAATTGACTAGTTTTAATCTATTGTGTGTAAGTGGGCTCCTTTGTGTTACAAAGCATGCCATACACTTGTGTTTTCCACTGCCCACAGGAGTTGATATTTTCCGTGGAAGGATTCAAGCCTTTCGGTTGGTACCTCACTCTGGTCCAGTTCGGCTTTTACTCCACGTTTGGACTTGTGGAGCTACAGCTCACTCAAGACAAACGCAGAAGGTTGGCAATCCACGTCCTCCTCCTTTTCTACACAAGATAACCGTTACATTTGACTTTGTTCTTCTTCTTTTCAGGATACCGGGGAAGACGTATATGATCATAGCATTTTTAACAGTAGGCACTATGGGCCTGTCCAATACGTCTTTGGGATACCTGAACTACCCCACACAGGTCATCTTCAAGTGCTGTAAACTCATCCCAGTCATGATTGGAGGAGTCTTTATTCAAGGTTAGCTGGATCTTTGTGAGCACTAATACACTGAACAACGAGAATTCGTTTGTTTGCTGCCATTTTGGAGGATTTTTATATTTTTAGGCCAAAAAAAAAAAAAGTATTTTATAGTTGGGAGCATTTTTTCTATAATCCTCTTTTTATGGAATAATTTCACAACCTCTCACATCCAGGTATGTTTTGAAGTAGTTTTTGTTATTTTCTGTCCCTTTTAGAGGTTTGTTGTTATGTTGGTTACCGTGGAAATAAAAGTTTCAGAATGGCTCAAACCAAATCCTTGATTTAGGATAAGTAACGCCCTATTGACTCTAATTTAAGATTAACGCTTTGAAGCTAACTGTTGTAGTTTAAAATTAGGTCTAATGTGTATGTTTGGAAAATAGTTTTGTGTAAATTATTAGAAATGGGTAAATCAAAAGGTGAATTTGTACCATTATAAGAATTGAACACTTTTTTTCAATCAGCATGAAACAAACTATAATCAGTCAGAGAGACTTTAGAAGAGCAGCACATTGAAGTCATCGTATGAATCTTCTGAAGCTTTGACCTCCTTTTAACTTTCACTTCATCCTTTTTATCCTGGTTCTGGTCATCAGAGCTCAATCTGGCCTTCTCAGACTTCTGTGTCCTGAGCCTCGGACGACTTGGTACCTCTCTCCCTCCGTCGATGAGTAGATGTGAGGACTAGAGTCCCTAAAGGGGCAGAGTGAAAAACATTTGTTCACTTAGAATGCAAAAAGGAAAAGAGGTGGGAGCGAAGGATGGGTGGATGACGGGAGGGGTTCAGGGTTGTATCTGATGTGAGGCCCTTCAAAGACGAGTGGGGGAATCAAAGCCGACCACAGCCGACCTGATGCTGCGTCCTCCTGTCAACCTGAAGGCATCCGTCCGTCAGTTTTCATCCTCTTGTTTTTCCCTCTTAAATACACTTTTTGTTCACTGTCTTTTTGCATATCCTCAGAAACTTTGAATTGTGAAGACTGCTCTGCACAAACTTATTTTTCAGTTGTGTTTACTGGGTTTGTAAAAATGGGTTGTAATGTTTCTGGAGCATCCTCAGTTTTGTGCGTCGTGTTGTGTGTTGAAGGTAAACGGTATAATCTGATCGACGTGTCGGCTGCCCTCTGTATGAGTCTGGGACTCATCTGGTTTACGCTGGCTGACAGCAAAGTGGCTCCCAACTTCAATGTTACAGGTAATTCCTTCAGGACCCAACTGCAACACATATATAATAAAGTCTTTACAACTATTAGATTAGTCTGTCCATGGCACTCATGTTGGTGTGTTGACTCAACTAGATGTTTGGTTCTGTCTGTTTAATGGTTATAAACGTATAAATGAGCAGATTTTCCTTATTTTGCACCATGACTGCTGTGATCATGACCGCCAGTCTGCCTTAAGTTAGTGGTTCCCAAACTTTTCAGCTTTCAATCCATAAAGTAAAAGTCACAGACACTTGTGACCCAAACTTTTACTGGTAGAAGTACACAAACTAAAGCCCGACTGATATGGACAGTTTGGCTATCGCTGATACCGATATTGGGCTCATGCTAATAACCGATATAATGGCTGACATTTTTGAGCTTTGTCCACCCCCAAGAATCTTCTTCACTTTTCCTACCCTCTACTACTCGCCACAAAATTATCAAGTGTGTTACAAAAATATAAATTAAACAAACGCCCTTCTCTGTTCATTGTTTAAACAGTCACGTTTGGTGGAGTCCTGATGAGGATTGACTGCTTCTTTGCAGAGAAGTAAAGATTTCAGACAATGCATTTCATTGAGGACGACAAAGATAATGTTAACACTAATATATTTTACCTCTACGTTACATTTATTGTTCTGTATAGTTTTACAAAGCAATAGCCTATGCTAAGTTATCTAAACATTAGCTTGCTAACTTCAGGGGCACGTAGCTAATGACAAGCATGTTGGAGGATTGAAGAGAATTTATTGATATTTTAAATTTTATTTTGCAGATAAGTTAAAATAAACTTACCGTGCTCTGTTCAGCATAATACACCACACAGTGTTGCTCGCTGCTTGGTCTGTGCTGAAAGTGAAAGTTCAAGTGAACAGCCATAACTTAAAAGTAGTCTGCATGCGCCCTCTGCTGGATATATTGTACAATTATGTGATTTGCAAGTAAGGACACAGTTTTAGACTTGCATTCGGGCCCAAAAAACCCAGCCCGTAGCCATAATTTCTGAACTCCACCCGACCCAACGAATTAACAGTAATTACAGGGCCGAACCTGAATAAAACCCCAACATTTTTAATTTAAGCTTTGACTGCTTATATAGTTATTAACGGTTGGCGGATGTGCACGGCTGAATTAAAGGGGGCAGAAGATCGGAGCTGAGGGGGCGTTTGTCCTTTCAAGGCTGTCGCCTTAAATCCCTGCTTCTGCCTTCATTCTGCATTATTCAGACACGGACCCTGCTTTGGCATGTCTGCTTTGGGATCTCACCTGTTTGGGTCGTCAACCACGCTCGTCCGCTGAGTGCAGCGGCTGAATGAACTTCCATTTGGGCGATGGATTGCTTCCTGGCAGTATAGGCGCATCTGAAGCTTAACTGAACTTTTATTTTATCTCTTTCAAGGACGGTCAACACGCGGTGAAATGGCCACTTGTGGCTGGTGACTGCATGACAAGCCATGTTGCCATATAATTGGAATGTATTACAAGCCATGTTGCCATATAATTGGATTGCTAGCCGCACGCGTCCGATGATGCGATCAAAAGCCCAACATGGACTCGGCCTGCCCATCCAGCACTTTATTACGGCCCGGCCCAAATTCGGGCCGAGCCAGGCTTTGGGCCCGGGTTAGAAATGACAGCTCTACACAGTTCCCAGTGTATGTATCGGCGCATGATGAGACAATTATCACTAATGTCCCCAAACACTTATATCGGCCCTACTGATGTATCAGTCGGGCTCTAATACAAACATTTCTTAAAAGCCAAGTTTTCCATTGTTGGTGTCTCAAACTCTTTTAAACCCTTTTAATTTTTTTGTTGCAGGCATCTTAACTCAAGAGTTGTAATTTGACACCTGTACAGGAACTGTCCTCTAACATAAAACATGTCCAGGTCTAAAAACCACACAGACTTTAAACAAAAATAATAAAAATACCTGGTCAAGATGGGCAACAAAACAATGTGCACAGCTTGGAATGCACTTTTTTTAAACGATGCACAGATAGAATTGACTGAAAATCACAAACAACACTTACAGTTTGTACATATCAGTCGCATAATGCATTAAAAGATACATTACGCTGTTTTTTAGATCTAAAAGTGAGGCCTGAAACCTTTAAAGAGATCAAAAAGATATTCAATGAGTTATAAATTGGAACATTTGGTTTTCTGCTTTTTGCAATCTACCATTTTTGTCAAAAGTAGCCGAACACTAAAAAGCCTTGAGATTTTCAGTCCCTGCAGTTTATATCTAGCTGTTGGCATCCGTCATGTGGCAACTTCCTGTTTTGAATTGTTTTGTTCAATGTGGATGAAAGCCTCGTTATTTTTGCTCCTTTAATTCAGTACAATAGCTGACCGTGTGTTTGCGTTGTGTGCAGGAGTCATGCTCATCTCCCTGGCGCTGTGCGCTGATGCTGCCATTGGAAATGTGCAGGAGAAAGCCATGAAACTCTACAACGGCTCCAACTCTGAAATGGTAAAATATAAAAAATATATATATATCTGTTGACACCTTTACAAGCAGAGCCCTGCTCTGGGCGTCAGTAGATATTTGTGTCCAGTGTTTGAACTGCAGGATGGTGATATCAATTAGAAATGTCACTGATTGGTTGTTTGTGTTGACAGGTGCTGTACTCCTACTCTATTGGGTTTGTCTACATACTGGCAGGCCTGCTCAGTGTGGGCGGACTGGGACCAGCAGTAGCGTTCTGCTCAGAGGTGAATGCGTTTAGGTTGTTTAATGTGACTCAGTGTGTACCGTGTATGAAATTAGTCTTTTAAGATAAGGAAATTAATGAATACTTATCGGTGTTTTAATCTACCGTTTTCCAGCACCCTGTCAAAACGTACGGTTACGCCTTCGTCTTCTCCCTCACGGGTTATTTTGGAATCTCCTTTGTGTTGGCCTTAATCAAGCTCTTTGGTGCCCTCGCTGCAGTGACAGGTAAATATAAAACAGTATGCGCCAAGTATTTCCTTTTTTTTTTTATTTAAATTCTCACAATTATATTTTTCATTCATTCAACCTTTATTTATACGGGCTAGTCTCATTGAGCCACGAGGACTCATGTACAAGAAAAACCTGTCACAGACAGAACATATAAAGTGCAGACAAGAATAACAATAAACTACAGAAAAACTGCAGTTAAAATAAAAGTGGTGTTATAAAACAATAAATCGGGGTGCTGTAAAACAAGGTAGAATACTAAAAACAAACATGATTTTTATATTGACAATATCAAAGGTTTAAAGTCATAAAATCATACAATCACTGTCCCTGCACCGACGGTGTGACATGTGGGAGGAGATATAAGAAGGTAGCAGACCAAGGAGGGATTTATAGATGAAAATGAACCAGTGTGAGAGTCTGTAGATAATGATGACCAATGAGTAAGAGTGCAGTGATGGGTACAGTAGTTACAACCAGTTATGAATCTTAGCGCACCATGGTAGACAGCATCTAACATCTGCAAGGAGCTGGCAGGGGAATTCATGTAAATAATGTCGCCATAGTCAATGAAAGGTACGAGGCGTTTTCTGGCATTCAAAGCAAGATCTGTTTCTGAAAAAGAAACCCAGTTTTAATTTCAGTTTCTTTATCAAGTTTTTTATATGTGGTTTAAAAGAGAGATGTGCATCAACCAAAATTCCCAAGTATTTGTAAGAATCTACAAACTCAGTAGGAACACCATGCATGGATGAGATGGGAGGAAGAGTTGCTGGTACTGACTTTCTGTTGGAAAACAACATCCCTATGGTTTTATCAGCATCTATCACCAGCTTGAAATGGAATAAGTCTGACTGAATGATGTCAAATACAGACTGTAAAAGCTGTAAAACCTTGGCAACTGTGTTAGCTCAGCTATAAACAACAGTGTCATCGGCATAGAGATGCAACAATGTCAGGAATGTTTTGACCTACATTATTTATATAAATTGAAAAAAGAGTGGGGCCTAAAACTGAGCCTTGCGGCACACCATTAGTGACCATTGGGTAGCTAGATGAAGTACCGTTATATCGAACACATTGCCTCCGACCTGAGAGATAGTTTGCTTGAAGACTTGAAATTAGTTGTTATACATCCGTTGAAAGGACGTATTTTAGTATATTCATACGTACCTTCGTAAGATTTCTCTTGTCTCGCCCATAACTTGTGATACGCTCAAGATAATGAAACTTCATACGCATATGCATCATCACTACACATGTCATATAATATTTTTATCAACCCAACTTCAAGGTAAAGGTCATAAATCAAGATCAAATGTTATACAAGGTGTTTGCTGGTCCGGGCCATTGCTAGAGATTGCATTATAATAGATTGTTGGAGGGCGTATAATATGCCATGTGCAGCGCTCTGGTTTAAATTTACAACCAAAGTTTTGCATTTCTTTTGTGTTGGTGTATAAAAGTCTAGCCAACATGCACTGATGGTCCTGTTGAATCTTTTGCAGTGACCACAGGGAGAAAGGCCATGACTATCGTACTTTCCTTCGTGTTCTTCTCGAAACCTTTCACTTTCCAGTAAGTATCGCCACCTTTTGACTTTAGGCTCTTCTTCTTTGTTTAAAGTAAGCCCAGAGTGAGCCGACTGCACTCTCCTTGGTCAAATAAAACTTGATTTGGTCTCCCAGGCCTTCATCCCCTCAGTCCAGAGTCTGACCTCTGTGACTCAGCTGCTCCTTTTTGTCCTTTACTCTTTTCTCTGCTGCTTATTGGGCCCCTGAAGTGTGTGGTGCTGTCAGGAGGGGCTCATTTCTGCATACCCCTCTGACTTTGTTTTTCTGTTCATGACTTTTGACGTATGTGTGTGTATTTATTGATTTATTAAAACAAACTTGTGTCTTTTTATGACCACATTTATCCTCCCTCCAGCTGCTGCGTCCTTCACCGTGAACACACTCTTTTATCTTTTATGTGGGATAAAGTCTGATTCTAAAGTTAAATATGTGAAAAGTTCAAGGCTCTGCTTGGTTCTAAAAGTATTTCACGTCAGCGATAACGAGCGTTTTTCTCCTAAAGTGGCTAAATTTGTCCATTTTGCTTTTTGTCAGGTACATCTGGGGTGGCCTTCTGGTTCTCTTTGGCATCTTTTTGAATTTTTACAGCAAAAACAAAGAAAAAATGAAGCTCCCCTCAGTCAGGGACATCAGGAGCTGGCTGCTGACGAGAAAGAAAGTCCGATTTCTTTCACAAGACGTATAGGAGCCCCCCCTTCCCCCATTAGTGTGGCTAAATCCTGCACAGGCACACTGGTCCAGGTGTAGTGTTGGCCCACGCTTTCCAGGGAGATGTGCTGAAGCATGTGCCTGAGCTACAGGGCTACATCACCACCAGTATTGAGCCAAGGATGGTATACAGGGTTTGACCTCCAATCGGCCTTACAAACAGCTGCCATGATTAAACTGTGGACTGGGGAGCTGCTGGGTCTTGTCTAGATCTACCAGCTACTGGTTAGCTGAACGCACGGTATCAGCAGAGAACTGAAGGGGAGAAAATGTTTGTTTTTATAAGGGAATCATTTCCCTGTGGCATTTCTTGTAAAGCCCGTGCAGAAACATTCCTTACATGGAGTGAAACACTGAGTCTGAAGGGAAACCAGCTCCTTAGCTCCTTTCTAACCAAATTGCAGTTTTGCACTGGATTTGACTCGTAACAGTTGAACCGATGAGTGGTTGGAAGAAAAAATGAAATCTTAAAAAGGAAGGAATACACATTAATGTGACTAAAAATGATTGTTACCCACCCTGCGAGGGGAAAATACATTTTGATAAAACGCCTATTTGTCCCCGCATGTGCCAGAAAACGTGGATAAAAATAGTTTTTACATATCGTCTTTATAAGAGTTTATTGGTAATTTAAAACAAATATGGAAGTGTGGTCACGTGGTTAAAAGATTTTAAGGAATGCATAATCATTAGTTCATCTGTACATGAGCTGCCAACATTTCTGGGTGAGAGGGTACATCTCTTTTTACAATAAACTATGTATTTAGTAATTATGGTGATTTGTGTTTGTGTGTGATTTGTCAGCCAACTCTTACCCGCTCCCCATGCACCGCTTCAAAGATGAGCTGAAACGGTGCCAAAATCTATCCGTGTGTGTTTATCCATCGACTGGCCGTGGGCGTGTTTGATTAAGAGTCCTGGAAAAAGAGAGCAGGAAATAAACAGCAGCCTTTACTGTGTAAGGTGTTCTGTTAATTTGGAGTCATGCTTTGCTGGTTTGTTGATCATAAATAGGTACTTAAATGATCTAAATATTGATATGGAAGGTTTATCTCCAGGAGCCAACAAGCAAAAGGTGGATGATGATGTTAGCCCTATTTTAAGTCCGACTTGTGAGGTGGATAACGTGACAAATAAGTCATGTGTCGACTTCCGTTTAGGTGTGTGGCTGCATCTAGGTGCAAGAAAGGTCACTATCAAAAATAGGGTTGCCACGTGAAAATCCAAGATGGCTGCCACCAAATATGTATGTACAGTAGTACCTCAGTTATCGCGGGGGTTACGTTCCAGACACCACTGTGATAGGTGAAAAACCACAAAAAAAGGAATGCCATATTTATTTTAGTATTTATATTTTAAGACCTTATAAACTCCAGTATGTACGGCCCTGTGATGGACTTGTGACCTGTCCAGGGTGTACCCCGCCTCTCGCACCGTGATGGCAGGACGTGAGCACTAGCGACCCAAAAAGGAGGAAGCGGGTAAAGATGATGGATGGATGGATGTTACACAGGTGCTTGTCATAAAATTAGAATATCAAGAAAAAGTTTATTTATTTCGGTAATTCCATTTAAAAAGTGAAACTTTATTATATTTATTCATTACACATGAACTGATATCTTTCAAATGTTTGTTTCTTTTAATGTTGATGATTCGAACTGACAACTAATGAAAACCCCAATTTTAGTATATCAGAAAATTAGAATATTGTGAAAAGGTTCAATGTTAAAAGACACCTGGTACCACACTCTAATCAGCTTAATAATTCAAAACACCTGCAAAGGCCTTTAAATGGTCTCAGTCTAGTTCTGTAGGCTACACAATCAAGGGGAAGACAGCTGCCTTGACAATTGTCCAAAACACGACCATTGGCAACTTGCACCAGGAGGGCAAGACACAAAATGTCATTGCTAAAGAGGCTGGCTGCTCACAGAGCTCTGTGTCCAAGCACATTAATAGAGAGGAGAAGGGAAGGAAAAGATGTGGTCAAAAAAAGTGTACAAGCAACAGGGATAACTGCACCCTGGAGAGGATTGTAAAACAAAACCCATTCTAAAATTTTGGGGAATCAGTGCATCAAGAACCACCATGCTCGGAAGTATGCAAGACAAGGGGTTTAGCTGTTACATTCCTTGTGTCAAGCCACTCTTGAACAAGAGATGGCATCAGAAGCGTCTCACCTGGAACTGCTGCTGAGTGGTCCAAAGTTATGTTTTCTGATGAAAGTACATTTTGCATTCCCTTTGGGAATCAAGGTCCCACATTCTGGAGGAAGAGAGGAGAGGCACAGAATCCATGTTGCTTGAGGTCCAGTGTCAAGTTTCCACAGTCAGTGATGGTTTGGGGTGACATGTCATCTGCTGGTGTTGGTCCACTGTGTTTTCTCAGGTCCAAGGTCAACGCAGCATCTACCAGGAAGTTTTAGAGACTTCATGCTTCCTGCTGCTGACTAACTTCATGGAGATGCAGATTTAATTTTCCATCTGGACTTGGCACCTGCACACAGTGCCAAAGTTGCCAGTATCTGGTTTAAGGACCATGGTATCCCTGTTCTTAACTGGCCAGCAAACTCTCCTGACCTTAACCACATAGAAAATCTATGATGTATTGTGAAGAGGAAGATGTGATACACCACTGAAGGCCACTATCAGAGCAACCTGGGCTCTCATAACACCTGAGCAGCTCCACGGACTGATCGACTCCATGCCACGCCGCATTGCTGCAGTAATCCAGGTGAAAGGAGCTCCAACTAAGTATTGATGCTGTACATGCTCATACTTTTCAGTTGGCCAACATTTCTAAAAATCCTTTTATTTTACTGGTCTTAGGTAATATTCTAATTTTCTTACATCCTGAATTTGGGGTTTCCATTAGTTGTCAGTTATAATCATCAACATTAAAAGAAATAAACATTTGAAATATATCTATCAGTCAGTGTAGTGAATGAATATAATATACAATTTTCACTTTTTGAATGGAATTACTGAAATAAATTAACTTTTTCATAAAAATATTCAAATTTTATGACCAGCACCTGTATGCACTATACAGTACTGCAAAATGTATATGGGTGCTCACCAGTGAAACTTGAAGGATGAGTTCAGCTTAAGGATTATTTGCAACATTCCTGCCAGTTCTGTGAGTTTAATAGATAGATCATTACTTCTAACTTTGCGTTACCACATCGGTTTCTCCACTACGGTTTGCTCCCTCCAAGGCTGTTCTTTGAATTTTGGCAGAAAGCAGTGGCTGGAAGCACTGTTGGCTTCTGGGTCGTGTAGTTCTTTTGACTTGCGTTACAGTATAGGCTTATTAAAAGAAAACTACGAAATGGCGGCACCTGTCCCAAGTTTTTTGTTGTTGTTGTTGCTTTGTCCTATTGGTTGGTTTCCGCTGCCATTAAGTTTTTATCCCTTGCCGCCCCAATCACCTGAGTAATATTAAAATTGACAATTGTGTGTCGTGTACAATCTTACGGTGATAACCCACGAAAGAGCGATTTCGTGAATGTCAAACCACAAAATATCGAGGGACTACTGTAAACCAGCCATCTGAAGCATTTGAGGAAATCATCTTTCTAGCTTTTATCTTGATTAAAAGTGTAGTTTCCTCAAACAATTCGGGTGGCTGAAAATTTATCTGACTTCCACGGCCACCACTGGCCACCCTCTAGCTCTGCCTTTGCACCTGGTGGTGAATAAATCGCTCCCTCCACTCACCAGGATCTGCCAGTGCAGTGTGCACTGGCTCAGGCCTCCCTTGTAAAAAAGATCTGTGATCTCAATGGGTTTTGCCTGGTTAATTAAAGGTTAATAAAATAATACTGCCGCTGACAAGCAAAATAAAAATAAAAAAACTACCTCTGTTATTCCTATCCACACCAAAAACAAGGTTGCATTCCCTGTTCAATTCCAGTCCAGAAAAAACACTCCTCTTGAAAACTAAACATGTACTATCCAAGTAGCTCAACAATGGGGAACAGTGTACGCATGTTCATTTGTTTGTTACAGAACTATCAGGAATAAAAGTGCAGATTTTAAAGAAACTAGGAAAATAGCTGAATGTACAACTGGTCTCAATTTTGACTCAACCCAAGTTCAAATGCCTACAACCTTAAAACAAAAATCACTACAAATTGGTTTAATTTTACAGATATTGAGCCAAACTTTGGTGCGTTGGTAGCTGAGACTGATCCCAAACCCTTTAGTTTTAACTAAACTGTTTTTACACAATAAACTAAACCTCTTCTAATTTTTCACCTCCCAATCGAATGCTGCACCGAGGATGAGCCTCCCTTCATACTGAAAGTAACCTGCTAAGATAACTCCTTTACCGACGTCCTAAAAGTATTATATTCAAAAAGTTGTGTTTAAAAAACATGTTTGAGCGTCTTTGTGTCCTTCGTTTCCCCACCATGCTGTGAAATGACACCTGCCAGCGCAGTAGGAGCGCCTCTACGATCCTAATGGAGGCCTAGAAATTACAGTCTCTTCCAGGCGGGAAACCGGATGCTGGGCCAATTAGTAATTTGGTATTTCATAAAACTTGGCAGCTTAAAACCGACAAGAGATCCTCTCTCCTTCAGGGAACCTTTGGCATAGATGCAACTGCAAAGTTTTCCTTTTTCTGAAGCGTTGAAACGGAAAACACCGTACGGCTGTGGAACAAGGCACAAAACAGGATACAGATTTTCTTCAAGATGCCTTTTCCTGTGCTAAACTACGGTTTGTGTGATTGATGAGCAGAGAAACAGTCCATTAGAGGTTGGGAGGTCATACTGCAGCACTAAAAACATTAGTTTGCCATTACACACATTTGATGTGCAGCGTACAATACCGCTTCATCGCTATGGGAGCAGCTATTCTCTTTCAGCTCCCTGAAAGGTCATTATGGGATGGGAAAGCCCAGTTGACCCAAGGCAAAGTACATCATTTATCTTTTGCACCAGGAGAACACACCTAACAAAGCAGGCTGACCCCAGTTAGAACATCGAAGATTTCGGCCATTTTTCAAAGCCACAAAGTAATTTACTGTACGCCGAAGTTGGCTGTTTTTTATCCAGGCGGACATTTTTTTTTTGTTTTTTTTTACTTCGGTTTTCTTTCTTTGTCTTTAACGAAGCTCCGAGGTGAGACGTGCTTCCTTTTAGATTTATAGGAAGGTAATGCACATAGGTTTAGGAAATTTGCAAATCTTACCTGTGATTTATGCTTAACTAAACTCAGCTAGTCCATCACCTGGAGCTGTGCCGTACCCAGCTCCCTTGTCCTACTCAAACCCCCA